AACTTGGCACTGTTTCATACCAAACTTCTTGACCACCTCACTGAACCTACCAAACCATTCTCGAGGGGACTGTTTAAGTCCATATATAGCCTTCTTAAGTCWRCATACCKWACCATCCTCCCCCTGAGCAACAAACCCTRGTGGTTGCTCCATGTAGACCTCCTCGAGCAAATCACCATGCAAAAAGGCATTTTTGATATCTACCTGATATAGAGACCAATAATACATAGCTGCAAGGGAGATGACAACACGAACTGACCCTAGCTTAGCAACCGGGGAGAATGTCTCTGTGTAGTCAATGCCATAGGTTTGGGAGTACCCTTTTGCAACCAGCCGCGCCTTCAGGCGCTCAACACGACCATTTGGCAAGTACTTAACGGTATACACCCACTTACAACCGACAACCTGCTCTTCCCAGGAGGAAGAGCGGTGAGGTCCCAAGCGTGATTATGATGGAGGGCAGAGAGCTCTTCTTCCATAGCACGACACCACTCTAGAGAGGTAAGGGCTTCATGGACATCCTTAGGAACAACCACTAAGGATAACAAAGAGATGAACTGGCGATGGGAGGCGGAGAGGTGAGTAAGGGAAACAAAAATTGGAAATAGGGTGAAGGGTGCAGGTGTGTTTACCTTTCCGTAAGGCAATAGGAAGATCAAAGTCGGAGGCTGGTGTCGGATCTGGAGATGGATCTGTCGATGGTGATGAAGCCGAAGGAGTTGCAGCCAGTACACGTGGGCGATGTGTATACATGTGACGAATAGGTGGACGGTCAACGGATGGTGGCACCGGAGGCAAGGACGTAGGCACAACTGGAACCAGAGGAGGATCAGCCACAGGAAGGGGAAGAGGAGGAGGTGATGTGGAGGAAGCAGCATCATCGGACCCCACGAAGAACGGAGTAGACTCGAAGAAAGTAACATCGGCACATACCAAGGAATGACGAGAACTGGGATGGTAACACTTGTACCCTTTCTGAGTCCAGGAATAGCCAAGGAAGATACACTTAAGGGATCGTGCATCTAACTTGTCAGTCCCGGGACCCAGATTATGGAC